TTCAGACATTTGTAGCGGCAATTTCAATATTGTTAGACGCGCCAGAGAAAGGTATATATGTTTGAACATAGATGCTACATATATCTTCAATTTTCATCACACATTTATTTACCTTTAACTAACGTTTTTCCAGAATTTGAAGCCGTATATAATCTTCTTATTGCAATTTTAAAATCTGCGTCGCCTGAAACATATCCGGTTTTAATAAACCAATCCATCAAAGCATTGGTGCATGATGAACACGACAAGGCTATCCAAAAACTCAAAGTGTTTGTTGAATTTTCAACTTGAATAATTAGCATATATATATAGATATGACTTTTTATTTTTTATGTTTTTTTTTTTGATCGATTAATTTTTGATGATTGTAGTCTCCAGAATCTGTACAATACTCTAGAATATTCTTCACCACTCCGCTATGACGTGTTTGTTGGAATTCTTGATATTGCTACTAAGAATGATGAAATTGAAACCATACTACCACAGTTGCCGCGTCTGGATACTTGGGTGAAAGAATGGTCAATATCTACGGAGCAAGTTCGAGAACTATATTTAACGGTTTCAAATAAATTGAAGGAAGCAGGAGAAATGTACGTGTTTTAATAAAATTATAATTTACTTTAGTTTTAGCTTGGTTTCTAGTTTGACAACAAAAAAACATATAATGAATTGCATAGTAAGCGATCTCACGACTTCCTACTGAAATATCTTGCGACCTATACGTCATCTGATGATCTTTCTGCGGCAAAGTCCGCAGCAAGTCGTGCAATCATAGAAGCAATTCAGTTACCTGAAATTTTAAGTTTTGAAGATTTACTTGAGTTAGACGCTATTCAAACATTAAAAAATGATGAGGTTTTTGAATTATTAAAAGTTTTTTTAAATGGGAATTTGAAAGAATACAAATCATACGTCGACACAAATCCGGGCGTTGTGGAAAAACTTGGTAAACAGATAGAATGTGTGATATTTATTTAATAATTGTTCGCTTTATGTTAAAATCATAATATTGTATGTACCTTCATTTTTTCAGGATTGTCAAATGAAGATAACACGCGTAAGATTCGCTTACTGACATTAGCTTCTTTAGCATCGGAACACGTTGCGCGCGAGATTACGTATCAAACAATTGCAAAAGCTCTCGAAATTGAAGAAGATGAAGTCGAAATGTGGACAATCGATGGTAAAACTCAATACAGCAAATTTTTTGGGTCACAATGTTAAATCTAAATATATAATATTTCTACAGTGATTCGTGCACATCTGATTGAAGCTAAAGTCAACCAAGTTCGTAAGACCATTTTAGTGAACAGATCAACGTATCGTACGTTCACAACGAGCCAATGGCAACAATTATCCGACAAACTAGATGGTTGGAAGCAATCACTTGCAGATATTTTACAAGTGATTGCTAATGCAAAATTAATTGCGCAACATTCAAATGTGAACGCTAACGTTGCATCAAGTTCAGCTGTTGTTGTAATTGATGGAGCAATCGGTCAAGAGGAAGAGTCGTGATAGAAATACTAATTATAAAGCGTTATAACTTTGATAACATTATTTCTCGTGTACATTTGCGATGTGCATAAATATTTGTAACTTAATTTATTTTGCATGGTGGTTATATGGGTTATATTGATTAGAATATATAAAAGTGAAATTTATGAAAAATTTTTCAAATAATTAAAAAAAAACCTTGTTTAATGATAAGGTTATTTTACAAATATCAAATCAGTAATACGTTTATCACTTGATCTTACTCAAGTTTTTTACCCTCCTTGCCAGCATTTTTCTCCCTTTTAGCCATCATAGCTTGAGACTTGGCTCCCATAATACCACCACCCCAGTGCCTTTTGGCATCTTCATACTTATCGTTGTAATTGATTTTAATTCCGTTAATCAAATTGGCCAGCTGACCTTTATCTTCATCGCGAACATCAACTACAGCTAAAGCAGTTGCAGTTTTTTTATGCACTACAGTTCCCAAACGAGACTTACTCTTAATTATTGCATAAGGAACTTGCATTTTGCGGCAGAGCGCAGGTAACCAAAGAACGATTTCAATGGGGTCGACATCATGGGCGATCAACACCAGTTGTGCTTTCTTGGCCTCGATGAGAGCAGTAACGTGATTAATGCCATATTTAATGACATATGGTTTCTTGGGCTTATATTCTTTACCCTCAGCTTTGATAGCAGCGATATTACGCAAACGTTCCTTTTTCTCGACCTTTGTTTCTGGGCG